AAGAAAGAAAGAAAGAAAGAAAGAAAGAAAGAAAGAAAGAAAGAAAGGCTCTGACATTGAACTAGATGTTCGCCTAAGTCTATATGCCTATAAAAACTTTAAATCCCCTTTAATGCCTTTCTTAGGGGTCCAAGAGTGCTTGACTCATTGAAACAAACCACAAAGCTACCCATTTGGGGACAATACTCTTGCTGAGGTTTCTGGAGGGCAAAATGGAGGAAGACAAGAGGTTGCCACATCTAAGAGCTTAGATGGACAATGAAAGGGAGTTAGTCAGTTAGAAGTCAGTGTATCCTTGGAGAAAGGACAAAGTAGATGTCTACCTCCAATTCAAAGAAAGGAATTTTTATAATCCATGAAAGAACTAAGAACGATTGCACGTATTATTTATCAAAGGACTGTTCTAAACATTATCCTGAATAACAAAAATATCTAGAATGCAGATACAGCATTTACAGAGGTATCAGCAATCCTTGCTCTCTAACTTGTGCTCATGCTTACCCACACCTATATCCACACACATACGTATCACACTGATATATAGAGGAACCAATATTAAGATGGTGGACTAGAACAGGGAGATCCAGGTTCTAGTCTTCCCTTAGCAATGGAAGTTGGATGGAAGTCTCTCTCTTTCTCTCTCAGCATTAGACTTAGAATTTGAGAAAAATGTGTCTGGCATTGGACCAGCACAGGAGTCCATAACTTTCCATGAAAATGACTACACCATGCAGAAGTTGGGTAGATTAATTTGGGTTGCTAATAATATTACACATGATGACATGGAGAGAGACGGAGACAATCTAAGGCCTGCAAAACACTACATAATAAAAAAGTCATTTCAAAAAAAGTCACAAGAGGAGACATGTTTTTACATACCTGTAAAATGCATATATTACATTTATAGGCATTTCTTGGGGAGGGAATCTTTAATTGTATGTGGAATAATTAAATATTTGAGACAAGTAACAGCATAGAAGTGATATGTGAAGAGATTTATTATTTACATTTCAGATTATTTCTGCAATTCATTATCAATACTATCCCATGCGCTCAACATTTTAAATCCTGAAGCCTTGAAATTCTGTTGTTACTTTAGAAATGACTTGGCAACAGCACATATGTCCATACAACTCTCAGAATATAATCTTCAAATTATACTGGTTGGGATGACTTAGGATGTAATATAAATCATTGCTACTAGAAAACTATTGGCAGAAGCTATGACAATAGAGTAGTATCATGGATGGAAAGGCCTTATCTGAGCCTCAAATTCAGGCATTATTGTGGACACCTATGTGCACACAATGTTGCTTCGAGAAACGAAAATATGTAAATCAGATTGCTTCATTGAAACCAGTGGGAAACCATGAACTTCATCTTGTTCCCTCTTAGACAAACACAGTGTAGGATTTTGACTATTTCCATATTGAACATTTAGCAATGATTAATGCATACCGTAGAAAGAACTACTAACCCGATGGCTATCACCCTCAAACATCTTAGGCATGAACATATAGTGGCTATAATTTAGTCCTCTAAGTCAGGGGTCTCCAACCTTGGCAACTTTATACCTGGTGGACTTCAACTCCCAGAATCTGGCTGGGGAATTCTGGAAGTTGAAGTCCTCCAGGATTAAAATTGCCAAGGTTGGAGACCCCTGCTCTAAGTGATCATTTTTATGCAGAACTCCAGATAAAATGAAGATTAAGTTTTGTCCCTAAGAATTTATTTTTTTAATAGGAAAGTCATCTTAGATTTATCAAGAACAATAAAGTGGGAGTAGGTGAATTAAAATCAAGATATTTGTATTTTAATACAAATGACTGCAGAAAATGGTAGAAACTGACCATCAGTTTGGGCCAGCCAGCTATTGGTTACCAGGATTTGAAGCCATATATGTAGACTGCCAATATTTAAACATATTATGTTTAAAGTGTTAATAGAGCTATTGTTTGAGGCATCAGGGTTCTTTCAGGTAGGTAAGCTCCACTTAAGACTGCAGTCACTGATGCTTACATTTGGTGAATTCACCCATAACATCACAGAAGATCCAGAGATAGCTCCTAATCTCTCTTTCTCCTTCATCTCTGTAACTGAAGACATTTAGCAAAGGAGATCCTTTTTCTTATAGATCAAGTGGAAGTGTCCTGATGAAGATTTAGCTATTCTACATCTTAAAGGCTCAAGTTAAAACTGTAGCCTTCCTTTTCAAGGCACAGTCTTTTCTACATTGCAGCTTGCATATATCAATCAAGTTGTGATATAATAGAGAATCTTATATGCACATGAGATTTGGCCTATTTAGATTTGTCCCAGAGAGATGCAAGGATGCTTTTCACAAGGTCAACCACAGAAAGCTGCATTATTTTCTCCTCTCACAGCATCTTTGCTAGCCTAAGGGTAACCTCCACCTAATGCACCTAAAAGCTGGGTGCGTGTGCAGGCCCTTATATTTCATCATTTGGAACAGTGAAGAGAACATTCAACACTTTCTATTCCAATTGGTTTTAATTCATAGTAAACTGTGTTTGTTTTTTTAAAAAAAACTTTGGCTAGATCATGCCCTCAATGACACTTTACCGATAGGTGAACAGCTACATAAGGAGCTCTGCTAGAAACGATAGAAAAGTCTGCCTTGGTGCCTAGAATGTCTGGTATTCTTGGGTGCCAATGCATCAGGAGATGAATGATGTGGGCAATCAATCCGATTTTGAATGCCATGTCTACCTTGCAAAGGAGAACAATGTTTTCTCCGACTGATCAGTCGCTGGTGAGTGCTATTTCCTTGAACAAGGCATAATTTCCTCTGCCCTAAATACCCACACTTTGCCAAGACAAACAAAACAAGATTAATTGGAGGAAAGGAGAGAACAGAAAGTCAAACACCAGGATGAAATGAACAGACTGAAGTGTGAAAGTCATCTTGATGTGTTATTTACACATCTTTTGGGATAGTTACTCTGACCCTCCACCCCCACATATCCAGCTTTGTGTCATAAAGGGAAGAAGGGATCTAAAGCCTTAAAGGGAAATCACACCTTCTGGACAGAGAAACCAAGTGACAGTCACTTATCCTGTTTTTTTTTTGCAAATTCCAGAGTGCAAGGGTTTGTTTTTGGTTTTTTTTCAAAACTGAGGCTTCCAACTGCAGAACTGCATCCTTAGAGAGAGAGAAAGAGTTGCGGGCAAAGCAGAGGTGCTGAGGTGCAGTGCAAAGGTTTCTAAGGCCAGGGACAAAAAGAAAGGGCTTATCACAAGGAGGAGGAAGAAGCACAGTGGACTCTACTTGCCAGATCTGCAAACTGAACAATGTTCTATTTCAAGAAGACCTGAAAATCCTTTTCTTTGTACTTCAAGCATTTTAGCCAAGCATCCGAAGGAATTGCCTGGGATCTTTGTGTGTAGCATAAACTGGTTACACAAAATCACATCTATTCCTCTATTCTCCTCATCCAATAGCAAGAGAGACGCTTCTTTTATTCCCAACACAATGGTCAAGCTGTCTCCAACCTGATGATAATGTTACATCACAATTTCCATGTTGGTTAGAGATTGGGTCTAAGATGTTAGATGTGGCCAGGCTAGTTAAAATTGTGATTCGGTGAAAGATTCTTTCTTCCATACCTACCTTCCACAAATACTATTTTACCTTACGTCCTAAGTTTCCACAAAATATTCACAATACAAGCGGGAAGCAGAAATAGAGGAAGCTACTAAGACTCACAATCTCAGACATAATTGTGAATGAAACGGGAACTTTTCCCCAGGGTATTCTACAATAGTTGAAAATCGGTGGGTATTCATTCTAAGACTAACTTCCAAGCAAAACGGTTATTTCAAGAGCCTGGTGTATTAACGGCCCTTAACAGCCAAAGTCTGCTTCATTGGGGAGAGAACAGGACAATCTATATTGTCCTGGTTCACAAACAGCCTTGTAACTTAGAAGCTGTTTTATTTGCTCCAGAAGTAGGGAACAACGTTAATAGGGTGAAAAGGAAATAGCAGTCTTCTCTGCTGTTAGATAAGCACCTTTGAAGTGCTGACAGTCATTGACAAGGCCAATTCAGCTATCCTGACACATATTCTCTTGACCTTTTTCCTTCACTGGGTATCAAGAAGGCTAACATGTGAACTGTTACAAATTTCCTGATGGGAATAGATTTCCTGCATTTTGGGGGTCTTATATATTTGTTCCTTTATTCTAAGGATTTCTTTCCCAGTTGTTTCTCCCCAGTATGCTTAAGCGGAATTGAAACACTGGGAAGAATTTTCCTCTCCCAATCCCGGTAAAACTTCGTGGCTGCAAAGTTAAATCATCCTCTAGTTAAACCATCCATTCTAGAGATCTTGCCCAGAGATGGCCTTTGGTATGGATGGGGGCAGGCAAGCTCTGAATCTTTGTTGTGGCTTCAGTCTGGCTTTAGGCTAAGCCACGATCTTGGCTGGCATCTCTCATCAGCTCTCAACCGACAAACCTGATCTGCTTTCCTCGGGCCTGAACAGACTTTCCTACACAGCTAATCCAGCGACTGCTGCGACGCGAAGAGGGCTGCAAGAGGGCTGCAAAGAGCCTTGAGCGCCCTGAACAGACAGGCTACAAAAAATTGTATCGCTCTTCCTTCCTTCCTTCCTTCCTTCCTTCCTTCCTTCCTTCCTTCCTT